GGGGGGGGGGGATGTTGCGGGGGAAGGGTCAGCTATACAGATATAACTACGGTCTCAGATTGCTGGCAGGACGATTTTTCTGTCGCCTGTTGCAACCGACAGCCAATCTCCCAACTTATTCAGGAAGATATAGTAATACTGAGAGAAGATTCCAAATGAGTCCTCAATAACTTTAAAGTTGCAGCCAAGTCATTTATGAGTGCTTATTCACAAGCAAGATCCACTGATATCAACGGGGCTTATTCCTACAGCTGTCATCAGTTTTGCAACCTAAAAGTTTAAGTTGCTGTTCTGAGTTTCATCACTGACTTTTATTCATTTGCACTCCAGCATTTGTGAAATGGGCTAGATGGGGGGGCGGGGGGTAAGAAAGGGCAGCAAAAAGAATTAGTCAGACCTTTTGATTTCTTTCAATAGGTCTTATTCCCAAGGCATCTGTTCCCTTTCGTGCATGTAGATAAGTGCTGTGGAAATTGATGAGATTTACCAACAAATGTGTAAGCATTCACACCCAGTAAAGCAATCCCAAGAATATTTTGTGAAATAAATCCTACTCAGTTCAGTGAGACTGCTTCCTCATAAGGGAAACAAACTTTGCAGCTTTACAGCACAACCTTATGCATGGGTTTTTTTCAGAATAAACTGCAGTTTCCAGTGTACTTTAAGGTTTCTGAGCTCCAGACTATATTGAGAGTATGTTTCCAACACAATAGGGTTACTTCCACACACAGGGTTGCATTCCAATTTCACATAGTGCCATTACAATCTGCACCAAGGATAGATTTTCTCTTACTGCTTTGAAATTTAGACCTGGACTGATCCAGTCTACTGTAAAACAAATGTTTCCGTTTGTTTTAAACTTTATAAGGCAGCAGCATATACTCTGAACTTTATCTCTTCATGGTCAACAAAATCAGTGTAACCTTATGAAGATGCACTTTTGCTTAAGAACATAAGTGCCTGGAGGGGTGCTACCCAACCCCACTTAGTCCTGAATTAATTGCAAGCATCCCAACAATCGGCAGACCTTGAAGAGACCATGGCAATTGGCCAATGGAGGATTACAGTCTTTCTACCTACCCTTGACACATCAGAGAAAGGGTTCCTGCCTTCTATCATCCAACACTTACATTTTCAGCCTAAACAACCTGACCTTGAGACCATAATTCCTCTATCCAAAGCAGACAATATTTGGAAGCAATCACTGGGTTCAGTGGGGTTTCCTGCTACATCAGTACCTTCAGGGATAACAGTCAGCCACCAGCACAACAGGAGGGATCAAAAGATTTCATGCCAAGAGGTTCTTGGACAGCAAGGAATATCATATATAACTAAGTATCTTGGAAAATAGTTCAAGGGAAGGTGGATCAGGTATCTTTTTACAGTCAAAAGGGTTCCCTACCCTTCCTTCAGCTGACAATGACATCAAAATGGATTGAATTACTATCTCCAACTCCAAGATTGTTAAATAGAAAAACTGGGATCTATAGCTGATTCTCACACATAAGTTCTTTTATCTTAATATCTATGACAGTCTTGCAAATGGAGTAGTAACTGCAACACAGTTGTCCACATGCCTTTTGTGTATCTCAGTCCTAGACAGACTTGTGGGTTCTAAAAGCAGATCAGATCTCCCATAATCAATCTGAAGACTATTAAATTAAAATCTCCAGGTCTTAATTGGAAATTTATAAGTCCCTTACAAAGTAATTTTCAAAAGCTGAGTGAAATGTGTTCCTAAATATGTTAACATTTTTTTTTTAACTGTAGTAAGCAGTTAGTATTAAATCCTCTTATTTCATATACCAGAACGTTGGTCTCCTCCATCCCTGCTCAGATATCAGAGTAAGAGGAAAAAGTTCACTTTAGAAGTACTCCGCCTCCAGAGCTGCACTTCATTCACAGCTCAGTCTATGACCCTAGCCTATATCAACTTGGAGAAAGCCCCAATTTAGACATAATTACTTTGGGAAAACAGGTATACGTCCAAAGGCAAAATGTACACAGTAGCACTAATAAAGAATATTAGTGCTTGGACTGTGAAAATTACAAGGCTTTTGATTGATGTTAGGATCCAATTCCACCAAAGGGAGCAGAAAGAGAGCATGTTTTTCTGCATCTTGAATTTGTAACAAACAAATGAAACAATCAACACCCACTCCTTCCAAATGCCCATCTATAAAAATATCCGAGAATAACATCCCAAATTTGGGGAGTGTCTAGTATTTGGAGTTTGGTTAAGCCTAAAACACCAAGACTTCTTGTAACGGAAGTCGCACCTCCCTTGGTGGGTTCCCAAAGCGATTAATACTCAGTTCCACCGTGCAGGGATCCTAGTTTGTTCGTTTTAATTCGGCAAGTGGACTGTGGTCTAAACTTTAGACTGAGGCAACCCTCAAGGGACTTTATTCTAGGGTTCAAAAATAAATGTCCAGTAATTTCAATATGTTGACAGATGTTTCACAAAGCTTCTAGGTGCAGGAATGAAAAAGGGAATACTGTACTGAATAACAATTCAAAAAGAATTGCTGACAGCGTTTTAATTCTGATACCTGCAAGTCCACGTGGACATCGTGTAAACTGGCACCGATCTCCTAGGCACTAAAAATACACGCGCCTAAGCAGTGGCCCATCAAAGCATTAAACAGAACCTTCTCAGATGAATAAGGTAGTTAATAAATCCAACGTGCCTGGACAAATCCAGCAGAGGGGCTTACTTTACAAAAGATTAAATGCATCAGAAAAGCGTCCTAGCTTTCTCCAAAATAACCAATTTAACCTTTGCAGTCGTTCGCTATTCTTTGACTCCGAAGGGTTGCTTTGGGGGCTATGGATTTCTCGGCCTCCTCCTGAAAAGCAGAAAGGCGAGCCTAACAAGCGAAAAACGTGCCCAGATCCGGCGCACTTCGGCTTAAAAACATCCCGCCAATCATTTCAGGGGCCCACACCTGTTGATAAGTATTTTATTAGTGGGACAACCTTCTCTTGCATGAGCCCTTCCCCACCCCTTCCTTCAGTAAAGGGAGACTCCTCCGGTTTCTTGCCTTTTGTCTTAATCACGTTTTTCCCATTACTTGGAACCAGGCGCTTCACGCATTCAAGGCCTGCGCCTTGTTCGCCTTTCCCCCGATTCCCACTTGCTGTATGTGTGTGTCAGTCTCAGCCGTGCCCTCGCACATTTTTCTGGAGTGCTAACTTTTCCTGTCATCGTGCTTATAAGCAGGCTGCAAGTGCTTGGAAAGAAACAGGCGCTACTTGAGCCCGTTAATTGGCCAGGAAGCATCTTCTCCCCACCTCTCCCGCTGTTGTTTTCCTTTTGAAATGTCTTAGGTGGGTTAGTTTTTTTGGTTGCCCGAAAAAGCTCTTCCCACTTTTTCGCGATCGTGGCTCAAACAGATATCCCTTTGTCTTTAAGGGCAAACTGTTTAATGGCCACGGGCGACCGGACAGGGTAGAATGGGGCCTGAATGATTGCAACACGTGTAAGCTGTACCCCAATCTTGCTAGGATGGATTTTAGACTGTGTGGTAAAGGCAGAATGCTGTGTGGCCTTTTTCCTTGCAACCTGACATGTGATCTCTGTAAATTCTTGCTCTGCACCTCGGGAGTAGTAAGTCACGTTGTCTTAGATGGAAGAGTCTTGATTTTCCTTCAATGAGAAATGCAAGCCGCTGTCTCCCAAAACTGATTATTTTCCCCTTTAATCACCAATGCAATCTTACGTGGCCATTAAAGTAAAGTCATGAAGGAGCTACTTGGTTAGAAGGCTGGCATGTATTCATCAAATGTTTCACAAAACCTTTCCATTCCAAAAGGCTCTTAAAAGGCAAGGATCACCTCTCCACCCCCACCCCACCCCACCAACTTTGGCTACGCTTCAATTTTCTCACTTCCCTACCGGCTGACAGCCGCCAGAATGTGCTTCCTCTTTTTTTTCTTCAAATTTGAGCACAGCTCTTAAATAGTCACTATCTTTTAGCTCGATTGCCTGCCTGGATTTTTTTTAAGCAGTAGCTAAAGTGAGCAGATGTTCGATTCCATTTCTTCAAGTTTCTTGTTCTCCAACCAGCCCACCTATGAAACACAGCATCAAACCTACTTTAATTATTTCTTTTAAATAACAACTTTGTTAGGAAATGCATTAGTGCATGTGTTTACGTCTTTGCCATATGACAACTGCAGAAAGACCCCCATGAGAGGAGGCAGAGTATGGGGTAAGAACAGATTGTAGATGCAATTCTGTATATTTCTTTTAGAAGTAAATCCACTGAAGAGAACTGTTTTCATTCTGAAAACTAACTGGATGAGGTTGGATGAAGGGATGCATTAAAGGCAAATATTTAAAACCTTATAGAGTTCAGAGTTAGTTAACAAGTACTGTTTCTAGTTTCTCATTTTGCATATAATGGCATAGTTTTTTATTCAGCCCCTGGTAAAAATGCCAAGGCCAATGAATGCCTTAGAAAAGACTATACTTGTTATTATTCCTAATAGTAACTCCTTCATAGAGTCATAACCAAATACTTTACCAAAAGTGGGTGGATGGGGAATTGCCAGAAGTATCTGAACTATTTGGGGAAGAAATTAGTGATGTGAAATTATTATTTCAAAAACTTGGGTCCATAAGAGTTTACTTTTTGCAATTGTTTTGCTGCAAATTCACAATCTATTATTTAAAAAAAAATTCTAGCAAAATAAAATATTCAATTAGTTTTGCTTATAAAACTGTCAGATAAGTTTTCTGACAGGTTTATTATTTACTACATTGTCTTTGATAACAACATAGTTGTATCCCACAAAGTTACTTTTCCCCAAACTTCCTAAAGGAAAAACTTAATATTCCAATCTTTAATTCATTTTCTTGGATGTAAATAGCTTTGCTTTCCATATAATTTATTCTAAGCAAATGTGTTTAGGTTTACAGCCTTATCCACTAGCCTTCACTATATTTATTTGAGAGGAAGTCTCAATGTTGCAACACGATTTGTAACTAATGTTTTGCATGGTAATTCCAAAAAACTAATAAATTTGGAAGGAATACATCAGTCTTGATTTTCTGGCCTATGAATTGGACAGTGTACAATCTTATTCAGTATGTGGCAACTTTGGTAGTTGCTGCAGCTGACTTTCTGTTCTTCCACTGTATCTTTAAAATGCAAAATTACTCTTATTTTTGAGTAAGAAAAATACAGAGCACGGAAATAATTTGGGTTAAAAAAACCTTTAAATCTGACTGTTTAGATTTAATTGTACCATGCGTCATATTGTCAGGAACAGAACTCTGTTAATCTGCCAAAATTGCTTGATAAATTCAGGATTCAGAAATGATATTCTTCAAAATAAATGATGTATAAATAAAATGAGGGGAAAAAATAAAATGGACTCATTGATATTTTATAAATAATAACTGCATTTTGGAGAAGGTAGTAATCCAGCCTTCTTTTTTTTTTTTTTTTCCTCTGATGAATGGATTAGTAGGTTTTCAAAGTGCTGTTGCTTTAAACTGCTAATATTCCATCCAGTTTGCATAAAATCCATTTTTATAAACTCAGCAGTTCAAATGCTAACTATCTCCAGTCAGCAAGTTCTAGCTTATCTGTTTAGTCTGTTTTATAATGTAAATGTTTGTGTTCTTTGACTCTTTTACAGGCTTTACTTACCAGTCATTTTCTCCTAGGCCTACAGATCTTTTCTTATTGTTTTTGCTAAGGTCTTACTAGAAATTTTTGCACCTTGTAGTAAACATGGAGAGTTTAACAAATATAAGGCAGAAACATGTTTGTGTTTGAAGTTTTTAAAACCTACAACACACATATACCCAGAGTTAATTAATATTTCTCTAGAATCTTTTCCCTTTCATTTGAAATATTGTGCTGAATTTACTTAGTTTAACTGTAATTTATTTCACTACTGAAAAAATAAAATATTGCATCTTGAGGAGTATTGCTGGGAAACCCAATTAATGTGATGTTGTCTGACATGGCCCTGAATTCTTTATGCTAGAAATATTTAAAAGCTTCAGAAAGAAAAGCTCCAAATCTGATAATAACAATAACATTATATTAAATTTATATGCTGCCTGACTTCCAGCCACTCTGTGCAGTTTACAAATCTTCTGGCATGCTTGGATCAGGCTGAAGATTTAGAATATTTAATTCAAGGTGATTTATTGTATGAGAATGATGAGAGGAAGAAACTTTAGATAATTAAATCAAGTTGTGGATAGTATGCTTTTTCCATTTCTATAGCTTCAACCTCAAAATGACTGAGCTTTACACACTATATACAGGTAGAGTTGAATCAGAAGAATTATAGTATTCTTAAGTAGTCTTCAATCCTAAACAGATGCTCCTATTGCTCCCAGTCAGCACGGTCCTGCTGATTGCAGATGACAGAAGCTATAGTGAACAATTCTGAGGTTGTCTTGGAATTTGTCTGCCATCATTTTCCTCTCTAACATTTGTCTGCTTTCTGAATTTCACACGAATATTTTATTATCTTCAATGTGTTAAAAAGAAATGAAGATAAAAGAGTAGAACCAAGTGAATGTGAAAAGATAAATAGATTGTGGCTTGCTGTTGATGGAAGATGAGAAAATATTTGTAAAACCGCCCAGAATCACTGGGAGTCATCTACATTTAATAAATTGTTAATTATTATTGTTGGTCACATAGTCAGCCAGATGTTTAGACTGGATTTGGCATTTTT